GAAGCGTTTTAGAAGCCCTATATACCCTAAACTCCCCACCTGTAGTTTCCTTTAACATAAAGGATTCTAGCACTAATCCTCCTAAAGCCATGTTCTAACTACAGCAAAAGCCGGAAAGTTGGAACTCTTGTGGCCTTAACTTAAGGTAAAGCACAGGGAATCCTAGCACTCATCCTCCTAAACCCTAAACCCTAAACCCTAAACCCTTGGGTCATTCTTTGGGTTCTAACTTTCTGTGAAATCCCTGTAAAGCTTCTCTGAGGTGCGGCCTACGGCGCTAGTCAGAAGGCCAGGCTTTTCAATGGTGCTGTTCCTTTAGGGCTTAGGGTTTAGGGTTTAGGGTTTAGGGTTTAGGGTTTATGAAATAAGTCAAAGAAGCGATTAGTAGGCGTTTAAGTTTTTTTTGGGATGGGGGCTTAAAACGAGCACGTGAGATCCTGGGCTTCGAGATGTGCCATCCCTTCCGAAGAGGTAGCAGCTTCCCTAAACCCTAAACCCCTAAACCCTAAACCCTAAATCCTAAACCCTAAACCCTAAACCCTAACTCCTGTCTAAGATGTTGTACGGCACTAAGCCCTAAACCCCAAGCCCTAGCAGATCCTTAAACCTCGTCATATGCTTCAAGGCCCCCCAGCTCTACCTAGCTTGCCGGACCTTCCTGAACCCGCCAACCCTTCGGTTAAGTATAATCTACGATACAATACTTCAATATACAAAAACGTACTATAATGTACTATTATATTCTAGAATAGACTGTTTTCACACTCTTGAAATGGACGAAGATCTCCAGCTTGACGTCAAGAGGTGAAATGGCCCTATGGTTTAGGGTCCAGGGTGTTCTCAGTGGAGGTTAATATAGGGGCCTTAACTATGACCTATACTATGTTTTCTGTTTTTTTAGGGGGTGTCTTTATTATAATCATAATATATACCCCAAGACCCTATTCTAATTATTTAGGCTCCTATATTACAATATATACCCCAAAACCCTATTCTAATTATTTAGGCTCCTATATTACAGGTTCAGGGCTTCAGATTTCAGTGGCATGAGGCTTCAGGGCTCGGGTGGAATGCAACCCTAAAGCCCTAAACCTGGAAAGCTTCCGCTCTAGACTGAAATATAGGGGCCTTTACGGTTCGAATCGGGTTTGGGGTATAGTATACATACTAAGGAACCCCCAAACTAATAGAATAGGTACTTACTTAGGCCCCAACAATAGATCTAAGGGCCCATAAATCCTACACCAAATCTTATGGGAG